GCTACGCCCATCCGGCACCTGGTGATAAATTAGTGGGTTTTGGGTTGCAGTTTGGGCACTGGGTCTCTAAAAGGTTTGCCATCACTGTCATAGGCCTTATCTAGCCATGTTACATCCAGTGTTTGGATTACCTTTGTCAAATCTGACACCCAGTGCTTTATTTGAAAGTAAAGTCCAAGATTAACTGGGGCATAGCATAGGGCACCTAGGCTGGGAAAGACACTAGAGGAAATTTATTTATGAAATTTACATAGCTGCCTGTCTCACGGATGTGACTCTAGGTGACATAAATAAAACAATCGGGCAAAAGAATTAAAAAAAACAACAACAGCATAATTCAACAATTTAAAATTTTAAATAATGTAAAAACAGTTTAAACACAGATATAAACAGGACCATGGGAGAATGAACCAGCTTCCTACACACAGTGTAACCACCTCATTGGCTCCGTATTTCCCTGACAAAAACTTCCTCACTGGTTTGCTTTTAGGCAACAATAGCAACCGTTTTGGAATGGGCACGGAATCATTTTGTGAAAATATCCATGCTATGTTCTCAAAATTCCAAAGACGCCTATTGGCTTCAAGAGTTTGGGACCTTCACGCATTTGAATGAAAAAAAAGGATATTTTAATTATAAATCAATAATTCCTTTTTAAAAGTGATACTTACGGTTTTGTACATTTTATACTGCAGATTAGATTTAGGGCTGAAAACCTTGTCTGTGCCAGATGAACCAAGAGGTTTTATGATCTGTGTCAGCAGGAGGAAGTCGTTGAACAGAAAACCATACAATTCCTTGTTGCTCTTGGCCTTGTAGAGTTTTCCACTGTGCAGAAATTTGCGTGGCCCCAAGCAGTTTGTAACAGAATTAAAAACAAGTTGCTGAGGGGGAACAAAACATACACACACACAAACCCAGCAGCAGTGAGATGTATAAAAATATACCAGTCATGACATTGTTGTGTGTAATTGAACCTATGACATCAGCTTCTGTTCAGGGTAAATGCTTTAACCCAACAGTGTAATGTCATTACTTAGTGGTGTGGCTAGATAATAAGGGTCATTTGTGAAATTATTCCTTTAGGTTTATATCCTTCAATCAGATTTGAAAGAAGGAAAGTTTAAAGAATTGAAGGAAGTATAAAAATAAAACTGGTAACAATACATTGGCACAATAGGATTATAATACACTGAACTAGTTTTGCTACCAGTTGACTACTTTTTATCTGTTGGCAACACTGGCCATATTTGCTGCCATATTAAGACACGGATCAATATAAGCTTTATTATTAATATAACTATTAAAATTATATTAGTATAATAAATGCCAGTAAGTACCATTTGCTAAATTGGCAATTGTTTCTTCCACTTGTTTTTTAGAACAGCTTTGCTTCTCACCCAAACTGGACCTGTAGTTAACATTAACTGTACTTAATCTAAAGAAGGCAGCTTCAAAAACTAGCATTTGAAGATGATTTGTTTTAAACTATCCACTATCAAACAAGGGAAAGGGACAGAAAAATCTGAATTTTTCTCTCTGATCATATCACTTGGGAGGATGAATGGGAAAGCAAAGCCCAAGTTATGCTGCTTGTTCATTTATGCTAAACCATGATTATGTGATATGTGAACACAGCCTGTCTAGATTCACATTGTGCTAAACTGTGATCACACCGTTTACACATTGTTCTAAGCCATAATCACCATTTAGAATGGCTGAGTTTCCACTACAAAGTAAGTTAAAATCAAACAACAATTTTGGCTTCCTGTAATATATAAACCCACTAATGAATAACAACTACCTTAATCTATATCTTTGATTTTAAGAAACAGCCCTTTTCAGCATTACTGATACAGAAAAGAGTTGATTTTTTAAGTGGAATAGTATGAAAAGAACTCAGTTGACGTAACAGTCACCACCATATTGTGGCTTAACAAAGGAGTCAAAGAGAAACGAAAACCAGAAAGTTGACACTGGTAGAAGTTATGTCCAATGAAGAGTAGGATAAAATTAATTTAAAATCTTATTAATATCTCTTTAACTAAACAGAGTTATTAACATTATTTCATTAGCTATCTTTTTTTAAAGTAAAATATAATTTGTTTTTATATATTTAAGCTTTACCTCTGATAATCCTTCACATTGAACATGAGCCTGGATCCATTCTAATCTGTCTGAATTTTCTTTCTCACGTACACCTTCATTCACCTGTGAACACAATTCTTCTGCTTTCTCTAAAGCATGTTTCAAGTGGCTATGATCAGGATGATTTTCAGGAGTATTTTCCAATATCTACATAAAAATAAGCCAATTTAGTTCCTTAGAAACCTGCAAATCTATTCCCTTTTAATTTTTGTTAATTATAAAAATAAAGAAAAATAAACTTAAGAAACACGACCCTGCACAAATCAGTAAAGAAAAGCCATTTGTAACATTTCTTGATTGCTAAAACTGATTAAAGCTGACTCATTTTCAAAGCAATCTTATTTTAATCTTTCTTACATTACTCTAACATAATTTGAACCTTTCATTATCTGTTCACTCCTCAAACTTTCTTAATCATACTCTTAAAGAACTAAAAACCAGATCAATTCATGTTTCAGCTATGTAGGGAGGGATCAAACCTCCAAATAAAACTAATAGAGGAGAGGGGAAAGAGACAGATCAATACATAACAAAGTGCATACAATTTAGCTTAGGGTTAGGAAGACTACATATGCTTGTGAAGACCTAGTGTTCAACGCTTTCTCATAGTTACAGATATAGGAATAGACAGACTTATAATTCAACATATCTGGTGACTATCAAGCCAGAGCTGGCTGTTCTAGTATGACAAGTAGTGCATATCAGATAAATTAACAAAGTGAATTTGGATCTCAGAATTTTAATCCGATAACAAAAGGACTTACATTTTTTATTATTAGGGGATATCGTGTAACTCGCTGCATAGGCTTTAGCAAAAAGCTTGACAATGGCATTCCTTTGCAGCGAGGATCCATTGCTAATTTCTGAAATATTGAGAAAGTAAGAAATGTCAGTTGATTATGAAACGTATTTTTAAAATGTCAAAATCAAACAGGATCTTCCTTTATTATTTATATTATGTAAACATCGAATTCTCTCTTTCTCTCCATCTGTAAATCTATAGTATTTATATATATATATATATATATGTAGGTCTTTAGTTATTCGGGTTTTCTCCCGCGTAGAATTAGAAGACATCATTGGAAGACATGATTACACAAAAAAGAAGGGGAGTAGAGGCTTTACCCGCGCTAAACCTCCAAGAAAGGATATCCCCTGCTATTACTTACACTGATACGGATCGTGTGGGAAGGACAACTCCCAATAAGAACTCGGTGCCTGGAGTACATTCTAGTATAACCGGCCCAGTGACGAGATCGAAGAGTCGTGCACACGCCCTAATTAAACCTATAAAGGGACTTTCCCATTGACCAGCATTCTAAGCCCTGAAGATGTCAGCGATGCCGACGAAAGCTAGGCACTTTTATTGATTTCTATGTATTTTAAAGGTTTTTAATATTCTTAAGAACTTTTATCTTTAAATTATTATTATTAAATTATTTATTCCCTGGTGCTCACGTCTATTGACTGACTTTGAACATATATATATATATCAGGCCTAAATTGCTTATACAAATGCTATCCATTGGTCACTGAGAAATAGAATTTTGTGCTATCTCCCCCAGGGAAACTGAATGGAGATTGGAAAGGGGAAAAAGGAGAAAGAAAAAGAGTGGACATTTGTTCATGCAACACTGGGGTTCATTCATGATCAAAATTCCTAATCCTGGGATATTAGTCTTTCTTGCATAGCATGGTGACTAAAAGCCAAATAATTGCTACAGGGCACTGTTACCCCAGGAGCACTTTCTGATTTGGGAAATTTTATTTTTTTCTACTCCTGATTATTAGTCCAAACACATATTAAGAATTAACAGGTAAACTATACATTTATTTTCCATAGCACCTGAAGGCACAAGAAGCAATGGATGGAAGCTTGACAGAGGGAGATCCAGTGTGGATATAACGAGAAATTTCCTGATCATGAGAACAATTAATAAATGGAACAGCTTGCCTCCTGGAGTTGTGGGTGCTCTGTCTCTAGAGGTTTTCAAGAAAAAATGGGATAACCATTTGTCTGGGATACTCCTGCCTTGGTCAGGGGGTTGGACTAGAAGACCTCCAAGGTCCCTTCCAGCCCAATGATTCTATGTTTCTATGAAAAACTCAAAAGTTTTCTCAAAGAGACATAAGGCTCTCTAGTGAGGATTATTTTTCCCCCTCAGATAGACTAAGGATAGATTATTTCAGATAGGTATCTGTTTTATCAGAGAAGCTTTGATATAACAGTATATTGGTTTAAAAATGTATTGTGACTATGTTATGTGAACTGTAATGTTATATTGAGGTACTGATCCAATCTTTTGAAACTGATTCTGATACCATGTACTTGATTTTGCAACATATGTATGTTTTACTAAAAACAGATAAAAGAGATTTGCTTTAGATACATTTCTGTAGATGTGTGTCACAGAAATCTCAATTTGGGATCCTGAGAAGTTTTTAAAATTCTCAGTGTCCCAAGATGGTAAACTTAAGGGCTTAACTAACACGGAGTTACATTAAAAGATACTGAGCAATAGGTCGCAAGAGGTATACTTGCAAGCATTCACCAATCTATTTGGAGAATTGAAAGCTAGCGGTCCATGACTAAGTGTTGAAGGAAATGCTACAGAGAATGCAGCAAACCTACTCAACATAGATTTCCTCAGTTCTGCTAATAGTGAAGAATGTACATACAACTAAGAGAAAAAAACAGTATCCCCTTGGATATATCTTTGGACATGGAAAAGTGTCATACACCCAATATTTATTCTTCTGTTTCCCAAATTGTTTTTCCTGGCTTCACCATTTACTTGTAGAACAGATGCAGAATTTCAAATTATTTGTATTCCAGATAACTATTCAGGCCATTCCTTAGTTCTCAAATGGTATTTGGCTGCTACTAGAAATGGGATGCTGGTTGTAACAGATTCTTGATCTGAAAATGAAGAGTTCTTAACAAACTCATGGTAGTGGTTATGTTGAATCACAATCTGTTTTTCAAACTTCCTAATTCTAAAAAGAATCTTGCCATCTTGTGTAAAAGTCAATTATTTGGAACAAAGTCAAAGGCTCCTTTGTTTTTGGAATTGAATAGATGGATCTCTAAACTGTGATATCATTATTTAGGTGCATTATAAATGCATGAATTGTGTAGTTGTTACTTCTGATTCCTCTCTATATCCAAGTTATGGTCACTAGGACATATATATAGAAAAAAAAAGTTTTCAATTATAAAGCTGTGTTTCTGCTTGGCATGCTTTAAAAGCAGAAGCTTCTGCAAAGAAAAAGAGAAGCAGGCATGACGTTCTCTTACTTTAACGAAGTCCTTGAAGTCGGGCACTTCATCTGTTTTCTGCTGTATGAGTGCTGCCCCATTAAGCTGGCAGCTGCAGAATCGAATGTAGGGCTGCATGTGAGGAAGCTGTGCAGTCAGGATATCACCTATCATTTTAACTGGCATTCTTTCACCTGACATCTTTTTACGAACTCGCAGTGCTCTAAATAGCAAAAAGTAAAATGGATATTCTGTTAGGTATTTGATTTAATCCCTTTATTAATATCCCACAAATCAAAGCATTTGAACTTTGGAATATAAACAGTTGAAGGCCCTCCCTCCATTAGGAAAAGCTTTTTGAACCAGAAGAACTTTCTGTAAGTGCAGGGATTAACAACCTGTGGCTACTGAGTCCTATTTCTGCAGCTCCGGGAGTTTCCTCTGATCATTGCAATGGTTTCCTTCCATTATGAGGAAAGAAAACTTGGAAACTATAGCATAAGGTATTAAATAAATGTATCTGTCAGAAAACAAAGAACCTGGAAATCTTCCCAGAGCCACCTATAATGTGGCTTCACCTTCAGAACTATCGAAACCTTTCAGTTCCCTAAAACAGGAGTTTGCATTCGGAACGAGGCCACAGAAGCAGTGGGTAAGTATTTGTATGAGAAGCTCCAATTCCCAACTTTCTGGCTTTGCAGAACCATCCCCCCCCCATCATTTTAATTTCTATATTTTTCTTTCCCAATGAAATAGAAAGATTCCCTAACGTGTTACAATATTGACCAAAAAAGGTTTACATATTAACTTACTTCAGTAGTTTAATATTGCACATAATAAGTTCTTTCCAGTTTACAAAAATCATAGCAACTTCTTTTTCTGTCAGCAGTTCAGAGTCCATCAGTGGCTTCTGGAAGATCTGAAGATTTAAAGAAACAATTTAGAAAAGTTACTCTGTACTTCATTTGCGCACTCAACTTAAGATCAAAGATCTGAAAACATCTTTTCCTGCATCACCTTGATAATTTCATAGGATGCAATATTGTCAAAGACCAGTACTTTAAAATCCCAGTGATTGCATCAGGAGAAGTTAAGTACACTGACTGCTTAACTCAGAGCAGCCAAAACAATCATAGTGCATTCAGAAAATATTCAGACCCCCTTCACTTTTGTCAATTTTGTTATGCTACAGCCTGATTCTAGTTGTTGAAATTCATTTTTTCTCATTAATCTACACTCAGTACCCCATAATGACAAAATGAAAACAAAATGTTAGAAATATCTGTAAAATTATTAAAAAGAAAAAACTGAAAAATCACATTGCTTAAGTATTCAGACCTTTTGCAACAACACTTGAAATTTAGCTCAGTGCCTCCCATTTTCTCTTGATCTTTGCTAACATGTTTCTACGCCTTCTTTGGAGTTGACTTGTGGTAAATTAATTGACTGGACATGATTTGGAAAGTCACACACCTCTCTATAGAAGGCCTCACAGCTGACAATGCATGCTGTACCAGAGCAAAAGCCATGAAGTCAAAGGAACCGCCTGCAGAGCTCTGAGACAGGATTATTACAAAGCACAGATCTGGGGAAGGCTACAATAAATTTTCTGTTACACTGAAGGTTCCTAAGAGCACAGTGACTTCCATAATTCTCAAATGGAAGACATTTGGCACAACCAGGACTCTTCTAAGAGCTGGTCGCCCGGTTAAGCTGAGCAATCGGGGGAGAAGGGCCTTAGTAGGAGAGGTGACCAAGAACCCGATGGTCACTCTGACTGAGCTCCAGAGATTCTATGCGGAGATGCAACAGAGTTCCAGAAGGACAACCATCACTGCAGCCCTCCACCAATCTGGGCTTTATGGCAGAGTGGCTAGACGGAAGCCTCTCCTCAGTGCAAAACACAGAAAACCCTCTTGGAGTTTGCAAAAAAGCATCTGAAGGACTTTTAGACCGTGAGGAACAGGATTCAGTGGTCTATTGAAACCGAGCTTGAACTGTTGGGCCTCAATTCTAAACGTTATGTCTGGAGGAAACCGGGCACCGCTTATCACCTGCCCAATATCATGCCAACAGTTAAGCTTGGTGGTGTCAGCATCATGCTGTGGAGGTGTTTTTCAGCAGCAGGGACTGGGAGACTGGTCACGGTTGAGGGAAAGCAGAATAGAGCAAAGTACAGGGATATCCTCAATGAACACCTGTTCCACGGCGCTCATACTAGGCAGAAGGTTCACTTTGCAACATGACAACGATCCTAAGCACACAGCCAAGACAACACAGTAGTGGCTTAGGGACAACTCTGTGAATGTCCTAGTATGGCCCAGCCAGAGCCCTGACTTGAACCCTATTGAACATCTCTGGAGGGACCTAAAAATTGCTGTCTACCTATGGCTACCATCCTACCTGACTGAGCTTGAGAGGATTTGCAAGAAAGAATGGCAGAAAACCCCCACTCTAGGTGTGCAAAGTTTGTCGCATCATATCCAAAAAGATTTGAGGCTGTAATTGCTGCCAAAGGTGCTTCAACACAGTACTGAGTGAAGGGTCTGAATACTTATGTCAATGTGATATTTCATTTTTTTCTTTTTAATAAATTTACAGACATTTCTAAAATTCTGTTTTTACTTTGTCATTATGGAGTATTGAGTGTAGATTAATGAGAAAAAAAAGGAATTTCAACAACTGTTGAATCAGGCTGCAGCAAAAATAAATTGACAAAAGTGAAGGGGGTCTGAATACTTTCTGAATGCATTGTACATGGACAAGGAGGCTTGCAAGCACCAGGAAAATTTACTGTTATATTGGCACCAATGGGCTTGAGTTCTAATTCAGGACAAAAGGCACTTTAAGTTCATTATATATGCAAAGATTATCTATGTCCCACAGGCATACCTTATCTAGCAAGTAATGAATGAATCTGGGGAAGTGTAATTTTTAATAATGAACGATTAAACTCACCTCTGTTACTAATTGTAAATCATTCACATAGTTCTCTTCTGTTACTATGAGTTCATGAATGTACCCTTGCCGTTTCCTTTCTGTAGGTGTCAACATGTCTAGAAGATGCAAATCGGCACACCCTGAAAAACACAAGGAAAGAGGAGCTATTTATTGTTTTGATTATTAACAAAATTCTGCATAAAATCCACATGATGATGTTTAGTGATTGACTGTTGTTGGAATTGCAAATAACTCAAACCTCATTCTCTTTCAAATATGCTCCATTTTAATACTATAATGTTACTAAATCTGAAAATTGTTTCCAAGTTGAACAATTACAGATTACAGAAGAGGATTTAACATGATTGAACGATTCATATGTAAGTATATAAATGCTTTTTAAAGCATTAAACAGCACTACAATAAAATATGTTCTGCATTACCTTACCAAACCTACAACTGCAAATATTAACATTTTTAAAAGATGTGCTTCTACACTTTTGAATTGAAAGATATGCTCCATTCACAAAGGAGTAGCCAAAGGAGAAAATAGAAACATTTTGCTTAAAAGATTAGCACCCCATAGCTTCCACAACATGTGGGTGCATACAGCAATTAAGAACAGTGTACTTCAATTTGTACGTATGTATAAATATGTATTTATATTTTTTGCATTAAAATATTAATTCATTACTTGGAAAACCAGGCTTTTATATAGTTTTGTAGATTTTTTTAAAAATAGGACAGGATTTGGATTAATGAGCAACACCAGATCATGCATTTTAAGTAAGGCAGCTTAACACCTTAGTCAGAATGAAATCTATTTTATTAGATGACCAACTAAAGCATTGTTTGTAAACATTTCTTTGCCTAGCAGTACTCTGTATGTACTTTGTTTGATTGATTTATATCTAATATATTTATATTTCTTCCAGGAACTCAAGATATCATTAGTTCATTTCCATGTTTACCCAAAACTCCTTTGTGAAGTAAGTTGGGCTGAGAGTGAGTGAGTGAGTGGTCCAGAGTCATTCTCATACAAATATACAATATGCACAGGAAGATATATACTCTGAAGCAATCAGATACAATGAAGTTCACTTTTCAGTTTGGAAAACATATTTTTATTGTTAACATCCTTTGTTTTAGTTTAGTTTTATGTTGCTCCCCTGCTTTGCTCATCTATATCTTATTTTATTTTTTTCAAGTTGGCATTTCATTATCTATATTTTTGATACTCTGATAGTTAAACTCAGAGACTTATGTGGTTCCCAAAAACCTTGAGTGCCTCCGGGGACCTCCAAAAGTTCAAGGCTCGATAGAAATCACATTAATTGGGTTTAATTTCAATTACCTCTAAATATAAACAAAATGAAACAAATTTAATTGTGTCCTGACCTCGCCCATAAGTCTGAAGTTCCTCCCAATATGCCACTTGAAAGTCAAAACCTCAGCACAAGGAAAAAAAAGTGAACATTATCTACTATTAAAATAATATACTAAGGGGAGCTAGACAATTACCATCTGACAGGAGGTGGAATACAAATTTAAATTGATTGCTAAAGAAGGAATGTTTAAATACAATTTAAAATTAAAATTTACACCAATTCAAGATGTTGGTTATGACTTTTAAAACCTTTTATGGCACGGGTCCGCACCATCTGAGGAATCATCTCACCCCAGTGGGATTGGCTCATTCCAGCAGAAGACCCCACTCAAGGAATTCTGGTTGATGGGGTCCAGAAAAAGGGCCTTTTCTGCTGTGGCTCCCTCCCTTTGGAACACTGTGTCCCTCAAGGTGATATTGCTCCCATTTTCTCACCCGTCCAAAAGAATCTCAAAACCTGGCTCTGCCATGTGGCCTCGGACCATCATTCTATGCTGGTGGTAGCTAGTGGACTAGGAAGAAGAGCCTACCTCCAATCTATTATTTACTCTCTGTTTATTTTAATAATTAAATATTTTAAATTTTGTACTTGTTTTTACAATGTTGTAAACTGCCCAAGGTCACTCAACAGTGAGATGGGCTGCATATAAATTTAATTAATTAATTAAAACTTTTACTCAATGATATTAGAAGCCAATATTTTTTCTTAATTACATTTTAAAGTAGCCTTTCTCAAATTGCTGGATTCCTTAACAATATGTGACTAAATTGAACAGTGGAAATTATTAAGAACTCTTATACATTTTGTAATTCTGCTTTTCAGAGAAACTTTACTTCCATTTGGAGCTCTAATGTGTCATGTATCATTTTAGTTAGGTTGTGCATGCTTGAGGATTTTTGCTCAAATTGGTTGTCACTGTATTAGTGAACTCAGCTAATACTCTCCAGTTGTGGTGGACAACATTATCAGATCTCATTGTCTTNATGTACTTGATTTTGCAACATATGTATGTTTTACTAAAAACAGATAAAAGAGATTTGCTTTAGATACATTTCTGTAGATGTGTGTCACAGAAATCTCAATTTGGGATCCTGAGAAGTTTTTAAAATTCTCAGTGTCCCAAGATGGTAAACTTAAGGGCTTAACTAACACGGAGTTACATTAAAAGATACTGAGCAATAGTCCGCAAGAGGTATACTTGGAGGCATTCACCAATCTATTTGGAGAATTGAAAGCTAGCAGTCCATGACTAAGTGTTGAAGGAAATGCTACAGAGAATGCAGCAAACCTACTCAACATAGATTTCCTCAGTTCTGCTAACAGTGAAGAATGTACATACAACTAAGATAAAAAATAGTATCCCCTTGGATATATCTTTGGACATGGAAAAGTGTCATACACCCAATATTTATTCTTCTGTTTCCCAAATTGTTTTTCCTGGCTTCACCATTTACTTGTAGAACAGATGCAGAATTTCAAATTATTTGTATTCCAGATAACTATTCAGGCCATTCCTTAGTTCTCAAATGGTATTTGGC